CCTTATGACATGCAGACTATTTAAATTAAATAATAAAAATATGTTTTCCATCATCACAATCAAATGTTTATGCAACATGTAGAAAAATAAGACAAAGGAATAATTAAGGATATGGTCAAAGTCCACATAAACCAGCAAGAGACACAGAAGACTTGCATAAAGGGTTTTTTCCAATTTATTCAACATAAGAAACTCAAACACTTACTGACCTAATGATAAGAGGGAAACTTAGTGGCTAATTACACTTTCTGACACAATCATGATCATCATCATCATCATCAAGCTTATTTATAAAGCACATTTAAAAACAACAAGTTGTCATCAAAGTACTGAACACAAGGCAAAGATCAATATAAAAAAACAAATGACATTCTTAAAAATATAAAATATAAAACACCAACAACAAATAACTCACAATCAAACAAAAATCTGAGAAAACAGGTGTGTTTTTAATCGAGACTTAAAAACAGGAAGTGACGAGGCCTGTCTAACGTTGGGGGGTAGATTGTTCCAAAGCTTGGGAGCCACGACTGAAAAAACTTGTTCTCCCCTCAGTTTCAGCCTGGTTTTAGGACACAATAAGACATAAGAATCAGAAATTAAATACAGTAAATTACCAAATATGTTAGCAACAAACCAAAACTGATCACAGTATGTAGTGATCTATGAAAGAAAAAAAAAACCTGAATAAACTTTGACAAATCAAACTACAACACCAAACTTTCACCGACATGTATCACGGTACAACCCAGTTAATCTGTGATTTCTGCAGCTGTGGTTCTTTCTAGTAATTGACAAGGCGACTCCAGCGGCATGTCCAAAGAAAATGGTAACTAAGAAACAACAGATAAAAATGTGAGGACATGCTAAAGTTATTTAAACTTCTGCATATTTAAAACCAAGAAAGAAAACCCACGGAAAWATATGACAAAGGCTGCAGAAGCTGCTGTCACAGATGCATTAAAAAGGACGGTAGTCCTTTGAGGAAAAAAACATTTTCAAAACAAAAACAAAAGTTATTTTGTTCTGTGGACATACAGACAAAATGTTGTTATCATTCTTCTATTGTTGTGATGTTTGTTGCCTGAGAAAATCTTTGGTTTTGCTGCACCGGATCCTTTTTTTAGCACATGGTGCAAGATCTGCGAGAAGTGAAGGCATAAAGAACTGGATTTAGACAGTTATTGATAAATGGTATTACTGCAACAATTTTCAACATCTTTGTACAAAGCTTTGACAGGTCGTCATTTTTCAGACTGATAGCAGCCACACCCATCATATCTATGGTAAGAAATGGAACCCAGAGGATGAAGAAGCTGGCAATGATGCTGGTAACCAGTCGAGTTGTCTGAGGATTGTTGAAAAAAGCTGCCYGATTTATCTTCTTATGGAGGAGAATGTATAAAACAGCCACAGTAAAAAATGAAGCAAACCCAAAYACAGCCTCTGCMRTCAGTACAGCTRTCCCCTGGGCATCAGAGGAAAACTGAAATTGGCAGGATTGGCAGGATGGCTTCTTTTGATTAACTTTTAGCTGTYGAACCACCAAACTGGGGATAGACAACGTCAAAGCAACCAACCAGAGAAGAATCAGCAGCAGTCGTTTTTGGATCTGTTGACCACTCTGACGGTGTACCACCAATAAGTATCGCTGGATGCTCAACCCAGTCACAGTCAGCAGGCTGCTATAAACGCTGCAGTACACCACGTACGCTAGAAGCTTACAGGACACCAGGCTGAATGTCCAGCCGTAGAGATAAGCATAAATCCATACTGGAAGAGTCAGCAGAGAGAGCAGATCAGACATGGCCAGATTCAGCAGCAAATTCTGGCTCAGACTGGACAGATGCTCCCAGTTCGGCTTCAAAATAATGACAGCAGTGTTTCCAGGAAGTCCCACACAGAGGCAAAGAGAAAGCACCACTGCATGAACCACAGATTCAGTGTCCAAGTCAGGTCCTGGAGAAGAGACGTTAAAAGTTGCCACAGTGCAGTTATAAAGCTCCATGTTGCGTTTCGCTGTCAGTGTTTTCTCTGACGGATTGGTGATGGTAAAGGTGCTGAAAGTTACAGAAGTAAAATGGGTAAACAAGTAAAACAATGTTCTAATTTAAACCTTTTAAGGAGGAACTTTAAAAAAAAGGAAACTAGGATGCAGAAGCAACTATTTTTTTTGTTTTGATATTCTTCCTACATTATTTGCTAAATATTTTTGCATGCTGTGACTTTATATTTGTGATGATACAAATATCAAATTACTTTTAGAACTATTTAAAACAACTTGACCAAAACATTATAACAATAACATTCATCCATCCATTATTTATACCCGTTTATWCCTTTTCTAGGGTCACAGGGGTCACTGGTGCCCATATCCAGCAGTCAAAGTGTGAGGGGCGGGTTACACCCTGGACAGGTCGCAAGTCCATCACAGAACAATAACATTCAGAAAAGTATTTATGAAATGATAAGTGTTTGCATACAYACACCATGTCAGTTGGACATTTCTGTTAGATATATATACAGTATATATTTATATAAAACCTTCATCTATGGTCACGAGCTTTGGATAGTGACCGAAATAACAAGACCACGGATACAAGCGGCTGAAATGAGTTTCCTCTGCAGGGTGTCTGGACTCTCCCTGAGATAGGGTGAGAAGCTCAGTCATCCTGGAGGGACTCAGAGTAGAGCCGCTGCTCCTCCACGTCGAGAGGAGCCAGTTGAGGTGGCTCGAGCATCTGGTTAGGATGCCTCCTGGGCGTCTCCCTGGTGAGGTGTTCTGGGCACGTCCCACTGGGAGGAGGCCCCGAGGAAGACCCAGGACACGCTGGAGGGACTATGTTTCTCAGCTGACCTGGGAACGCCTTGGGATTCCCCCAGAGGAGCTGGCCCAAGCGGCTGGGGAGAGAGAAGTCTGGGTCTCTCTGCTAAGGCTGCTGCCCCCGTGACCCGGCCCCGGATAAGCGGAAGAAAACAAATGGACAGAAGGATAAAAGCTTAGGCTGTGAC